CACTTGCAAAAGGTCCTAGCAAATTTCCTACATAAACATCAAGATTGTGATTGAGGCGATGATGAGATTGGGGCAGGGCATTGAGAGAGGCCATACAGGGAGGCCATAGCAGCCATGTAATGCAAGACACCATCTCGTTCACACTGAGAATACCATCAGAACCCAACAGGAGAAGAAAGGAGAAAATGGACAAAGTGCTCCACCTGGTGATCCAAACCCTGTACCAATCAGTTCAAGCTACAGCCTCTTTGCCAGAACTCCGGAGGATGAGGATGATATGACCTGGGTATCTGTTTCAAGTGCTATGAGAGGGAATGCCTCAACCGGGACAGCATCGCCACAAGAAATGACAACGAGAGACATGCAACTATTCTGACTCATACCTGATACCTGAAGTTGACGGTACCACGCCTTTGGCACATGGACATGATAGCATACCAGCATGAGCTCACACTTGAGTAACTCCTCCACAGGTTAGTGGCAACTAAGTTCACTCTATCAGTGTGTGGGAGTAAGTTGAGAGAGAACATTTTACTTTATCAAATAAAGAACTGGAAAACTAAAATAAACCAAAAAATAGAGAGAAAAACTTCTTACTTTTAGCATTCCCCAGTTTGGTAATATTTGATATCACATTCTGCCTCATGAGGCTTTGATGCACATGCTTATTGAGACTTTAGAAATCTGTTGTGGCCGTGAAGCAGCCACACAGCTTAATGCACCAAATCTGATCCTTATGTGCTGCTCTCAAAGCACGGCAGTGACAGATGAGAGGATTTTGGCCCTTTTGGTTCTGGTCATTACTGCAAACACTACAATTTTATAAAATCCTGCCAATCTGCTGCCTGCTGCTCGGGAAGATGAAAACAGCTCAACGTGACCTTTCAGCACCTTGTATTTCCTGCCTGGGAGGCCCCCAGAGCTGAGCGTGCAGCATGCACATAGAACACCTCCTCCCACTATTCACTGTGAAAATGATACTTTGAGATATTGCAAAACTTTGTCTTCCGTGTAATCTCAAATTCACAGACAGGTGAAGGATGCCTTCCTCAATTAGGCTGAAGCCTGACTATCAGTAAGAGCAGACAGCAAGAGTAATGTGCTGTGCTCCACCAAACACCAGGTTATGGAGGAGTTCCTCAACTTAGCATTGTTCCTCTGCTCACAATAGAGCAGTAAAGTGTGATGGACTGATTTTCCTGTGTGCACCATGGAAGAACTAAGAGATTAATGCTCAGATGAGGCGTATCTGTCAAACCAAACCAGTTATAACTGTTCTGTCATTACAACTCTTTTTGTCTGTTGTCTAGTACTGTGTCTTAGACTAAGGTTTAATAAGGTTTAATGATCGTTCCCTGACAGCCAGCCCAGATGGTTCAGATGATCATGGACAATCATGTAGGGTGTATGGCACTGATTTGATGGTAACTGTAATGTTGGGCGTTTTTAAGGATGCAGCTTTAAAGTCACACATTTAGCAATGAGATTCATTAATAGTTCACTTCTGAATACATCATGACTGTGACAGGGTGGTGGATTTTGCATGCTTCCATCTGCAAAATAAGCTGTACATATTTGTTGTGACATCAGCACTGTTGTTCAGCTCTATTTTACTTAACAGCTGAAAGGGTGAATATATTTTTTGAGACTGAATGTCACACAGGAAATCCACAGAGGTGCTGTGAGTTCCTTCTGTTTACAAGTTGAACCTGCACAAGTGACATTTTTTGTTGTTGTTGCTGTTTGTTTTGCCATCACTCAGGGATTTAAAATCAAGTACTGTTTTAATAGTTTATTCTGGGTGCATTATATAATGGTAGCAGTTTCGCAAAAACAAAACAAAGTAGCATTCACACCTATGACGAATTATATCCGAGGAAGTGTTTTCATTGTTAAATGTAAGTCGTATAGAGTGCGAGTGTGTACCTAAGCCTGTCCCCCTTACCAATGAAGTGTCGAAACAAGCACGCTATCAAATAGATTTCCCAATATGAACTATGTCTTTCCTTCCCCACCCTTCTGTCAATCATAGATAGTCATGCATTACAACGGAAACCTTTTTCAGCAAGTGGCACAGGTTAGTGGCACACTAACCTACAATGTGGTCAAATTAACCGCCTAAGCAAAAGGAAGAGGTGGTTCAAGTTGGAGCCATTCTGCAAATGTTCAAACAGTTGCTAAAGAAAAATCTTGCCAAGAGGCTTATTCATCTTCTGTGAATCTTATCTTACATCCAATCACACCATCAACATCACACGAAGCCGATGGTATTACATCAGTGAGCAGATGTGATTGAACCTGTAAACTGGAACTGTGATTCCTATGTGCTATACGAAATGATTCACTACTGCTAAAACTTAGCAATACAAAAACAATTTTAGGAATTAAAACTGCCAGTTTTCTTCTCTCAGTTCCTCAAACTGCCCAAAAAAACATCTCAATGGTTTCACTGTAGCTTAAAAAAAACAAACCTCAGTTTAGAAGCACAGATTTTATGGTGAACAAACAAGTTTTAATTAGTTTCTTAGAGACAAAAAAAGTAGTATTCGTGTGTATATATTATATATTTTTGTTTGTATCAGAATGTTGTCATGTTATGTTAGATTTGAATGACTTGTGTTTAAATCCCACTGTTTCCAGCATGCTGCATCCCACTGCAGAATGAACCATTCAAAAAAGCCAGACATGCATGCTATTTTTCATATGATGTAAAATGTATAATCTGGGTCACAACAGAACTGTTTTCTAGCTGTGCTTTTCTCTCTTTCTCTGACAGGTGCCTACATTTCCATTTGCCTCTAAGATGAATTGCATAAGAGCTGCACAACCAGCCGAGGAAAGGTGTGAAAAACAACAGGAACACGATCTGAAGCTTTTGTAAATGGTAAGGGGAAACAGACATTTGAAACCAAGCTCTGTCACAGGTGTCATCTTTGCATGTTTGGTGGCTGCATACAAAGCATGAGCAATACAGTGAAAAAAAAAAGGTGTGAGAAATATCTTGAGGTTTTGGGGGAAGGTAACTAAATCTTTGAAATGCTGATCTTGAAAATGATATAAAGTGAGATTTAACACTGATATGAGTGTCATAAAACGCTATCTTTTTTTTTTGGTTTGTTAAGACATGCCAGGAGCTTATCTATCAACATGTAGCTGTTCATTCATAATTTCAGTTTGTTTTTGTCATTCATTTTGATGAGACTGTGTAGTCTAAGAGCTTTATATGAATGGTGTGAATTGCTGCTGTGTCTCTGGTCATGCATTCTGCACCAATACTCTTCACTACTACTGTTGTAATAAAACCAGAGTGAGATTTGTTTGTGTAAACAGACAAATGTAAGACATGTAAGACAAAAAGATGCACAGCATGACTACACTATTAATTCACCGCACATTCAGTCAGTTTTATGTTCTTTGCATAGAGTCTGCTTTTGAAAAATATGATAGTAACATAAATTAGACCTATAAAAGGGTGCTGTAGGGCAGTGGTTAGCACTGTCACCTCACTGCAGGAAGCTTTCTGGTTTGAACATCAGTGGTCTCCACTGGCATTTCTATGTGTGCATATCTTCTGTTGCCACTTTAGAGAACTTTTTCTTTTCTAAATTAGCAATAAGTGTGAATGTGTCGCCCTGACATGAGTAACAAGAAGAGTGCATTTACAACAATATTTGTATTGTAATTTCTTGCTGTGAAAACTGTTTTAAAATTTGGATTTCATGTATGTTGTTTATTTTATATGCATTTCTTGTCCTTATTGCAGTTTTTCTTGATTGCTTGAGCACATTTTAAAATTGTTTTTAAGTTTTCAGGACTGAAGCAAATAAATGCAACAAAACATTGGTGCACAATTCAGTTAAAGCAATACAGGAAAGTATATTTGATGAACTTTTATGACACTGTCTTTCAATTTTGTGGCAAAACTAAATGGATGTATGCAAAGTCCATTACTTGTGTGCTATGTGATTGTCATCTAATCTAAATTTGCAGTTTATAAATGTAACATATTCCAGAGAACGTTTTACAGCTTTCAACTGATGTGTGAGGACATGTGCACATGCATGAATAATACATAACAAGTTAAACACTGCAAAATATACAAATAAGAAAATCAGACACTACTCACTGAAATAAATTTGGTCAAACTGCATGATGATGGTTGATCTTTGGTTGTTACAGAGAGCTTAAGCTCATGTCTACACCCCCAAAAAAGCTTAAAAAAAGAACCCCATTAACATTTGTGATCAGAGGCCAGAAAAAATGTGCCTGAGCTTGTCCAGGATCAGAGCATATTTGCATGTAATATATGTCAAATACATATGACAAATTCAGCACTCAACGCAATGCATTTCTTTTAAATCGTGTGTTTCTCTTAAATGGCAACAAATTCTGAAACACAACTTCCAAACCAAATGAAACTGATGAGTGTTTTCATTTTTAGTCTCTGATTTCACAGAAACGTTCACGGAAAGTGCGACTACGTTACTCACACAGTGACCCCGAAAGTGTTTTTACGTATTCATATCTCCACATTGGTGTAAAGGCCCTTTACTACTACTTTAACATAAACAGAAGGGCGACAAGGAGAAAGAAAATTTTACAATTTTTTTGAGAATTTATAAATATGTTAAGTTGTTTCTATTGTAGGCTTGTTTCAGACATCTGAAACACATAGTTTAACATTTTAAGTTTGTTAACTGTTTGTTTTTAATTAAAGGATAAAACTTTATTCTCAGCGTCTCGGAAAAAAGAGGAAATAAAAAATAAAACTTTTTAAAAGTAAGACGTTTCTTCACAAAAATCCTCAAAAAACTGTTTTAGCAATTATTTCATTAAATTTCTGTAAACCATCAGGCTTCTTATTTACAGCTTATGAGAGTTTTCATACTGTCATAACGTACCCTGAGAGGTGGAGGAGGGTTTTTTTTTTTTTTTTGGTTTGTGTGCCTGAGCCTTTGTCTTATGTCAGCTTCCTTTGTAGTAGCTTTAGATGCTTTTATCGGGACTGCTAGAGGTAGAGCTCTTTTTCTCAGGGCAGATTTATGTGATCTACAATATCAGAAACTCCTAGTTTGGTATGTTTTTTAATTTTATGCTGTTTTCAATCAGGCTATACTAGCTAAATTTCATGCATTTGTCATTCCTTGTTGTAAAATTTCAGTTGTGCTTACATAAGAGTACACACATTACATTGAACATTTAAACTGCACTCTCCCCTCTCTGCACAAATGCATGCAGTTAAGTATGTAATTAAGAAATAATTAAAATCGGTTTGTATTCAAAACAATGCAAACCATGAATTCTGCATAAAAATATAATTTGGAGTATGATTGAATTTTGATGTTTGCATTGCTTTCATTATGCTCATTTGTTTTTCTGTTTGTACGCACACCTTTAGCTCACAGTGACAGACCACAGCATATTAAACTCTGATGTGGTGTGAAGTGTTATAGTTTGCTATTATATTTTTGTCACTGAGTAAGTTTCCAGGTTTTGTAAAGATGAGATGTGATAGAACTCTTTTGAATCATTTGCATTTATGTTTATTGATATAATAAATTCCATTTATTAAAAATAAAATTACAAAACTTGTATATATGTATGTATGTTTATGTGGTGTTACTCTGTCCCTACAGTTATGATATTATTTACAAAACACGGTGTTTTTTTTACCTGCTTATAATGTGATCATCAAGAATATCTAAATGACCAAACTAAATACTACACATAGATAGATAGATAGATAGATAGATAGATAGATAGATAGATAGATAGATAGCTAGCACCATCATGTGGTAGAAAACATTTGACAAATCAAATGCTGAAACCGAATTAATGGCCTTTTCTCTGTCTGTCCACAGATGATGGAAGATGAAAAGATTACAGTGAGAGGGGAGGACCTTGACTGGTCTGATTTGTATGAAAACTATCACTATTCAGACTCGAATGGCTCTTATGAAGGGGGTGATATTTGCGACCTGACTGAGAATGTGAATTTTGAAGCCGTGTTCATACCAGTTCTGTACTCTATGGTGTTTGTTGTTGGTCTGCTTGGGAACGGATTGCTGTTGGGAATACTGGCTCGGAGTAGAAAGACCTGGAGCGTAACAGATACCTTCATCCTCCATCTGGGAGTGGCAGATATCTTGATGCTGGTGACGCTTCCCATCTGGGCAGTACAGTATGCCCAAAGTGATGGATGGACATTTGGTACTCCCCTTTGCAAGATTGCTGGAAGTGTTTTTACAGTAAGTATTGTGCAGGAATAAAGTAGTACAAAATATCTGTATTTTCAATTAATTTAGCAGAGGCTTCAAAATATGTCTTGCTCATCGCTCATTGATTTCTTTAGATTAACTTCTACAGTGGGATCCTTCTCCTGGCCTGCATCAGTCTGGACCGCTACCTGTCCATCGTCCATGCTACACAGATGTACTCAAGGAAGAAGCCTTGGGTTGTTCAGGCCAGCTGCCTGATGGTGTGGTGCTTTTCCCTGCTTCTCTCCATCATTGACTGGATCTTTTTAGAAGATGTGTTCGATGAAAGACGAGTCAGGAGAGAGTGTGTTCCCAATTATTACAAATTTGGTGAGGAGGCTGTATATAATTGGAGGTTGGCATCACGCATGATTTATCTCATAGTGGGCTTTGTACTTCCTTCTGGTGTAATGATTTTCTGTTACTCCTGCATTTTGCATCAGCTGAGCTATGGTGCCCAGAGCCATCAAAAGCAGAGAGCTTTTAAAGTTATTGTGGCTGTGGTGGTGGTTTTCTTTATCTGCTGGACACCGTACAACTTCACAATCTTAGTGGAAACAATTCATTTTGATAACAACACAGAAACTTGTTCAGGCACAACATCTCTGGAGAAAATTAAGACAGTGACCACCTGTGTGGGTTTCATTCACTGCTGCCTCAATCCCATCCTGTATGCTTTTGTGGGTGTGAAGTTCCGCCGTCAGCTCATGAGCATCCTCAGGTCTCTGGGCTGCAAAGTGGCGAGTGCAAGAATCCAGTCTTTTGTCAGCAACAGGAGAAGCTCCATGTGGTCCGAGTCTGCCGACACCTCCCACTCCCTTGCTATCTGAGAAAGATAAAAACAACAAATCTGATTGACCTAAACAATCATGAAGACAAATACATGAACATCAGCACATACAACTTGTGTTTGTATATTTTTTGTGTTACATTACCTGAAATCAGCACTGGTTATTTGCTACAGTTCTTAGTGCACCAGTAGTTGAATGAGACAGAACAGAAATAACTCACACCTGCATTTGTTGGCAGTGTATGAGATTTCCTTTCTCTGTTTTCTCGGCAGTATTGTAATAGAAATAAGTTATGACAGCACGAGAATTATTAATGTAAAGAGCTACTATTTTATCTTAAAATGTTTTAAACATGTATTTTATGCTACATTTATTTTGCATATTGATTTATGTTTTATGTGTAAAATGTTCAAATGTACAATAAATCTTTGTTTTAAGATTATACCTACAGGACCAACAGGCCTATTAAAGGAATCTTGGATGATTATTCATTGAAATAAACGTACTTATTCTTACAGCTTTGGAAGGAGTTTTGGGAACATATATCAAAATGACAAGACAGTTCATCAGACAGTATGTACAGTCCTTTGATGAGGTGTACTGGTCTCCAGGTTCCAGTTTCTATTTGAGGCCTGGTGACTAATTTGATGAATTTTTCTTTATCTGACAGAGAAATTGCATGAAAGTTAATTTTCTTTTATCTTTGTACTTAAAACAACAACCTAAAATATGAATAAAAAAGGACACATATTATTCACATACAGACTACACATATCGACTAAAATCAAAACGTCTTTTAAATGTCAAAATAATCTGAAACAAAACTTAAAACCAAATGAAACTGATGTGCGTTTTCAGGTTTAGTCTCTGATTTGACAGAAACATTTGCAGAAAGTGTAACCACCTTACTTACACACTTACCTCGTAAACGTTCTTATCATATGCAAATCTTCATGTTGGTGAAAAGGTCTAACATAAACAGAGGGGCGAAAATTACAGATTGAGATTATTTTATAGATGTGTAAAAATATATATAACATTTTAAATAAGGGATCAAGTTTATTCTCACTGTCTTGAAAAAAGAAGAAACAAGAAATAGAATAAAAATTAATAGTGAGATTATCTTCACCAAAATGTTTTATCAGGTCACCTTTGGTGATGGTGTCTCTAAGATTGTGTAAAACTATCAAAAGTCCTGATGCAATTTTACGAATGTTTTTACGTGTAATGTGGTCTGCAAGGTGGGGGAGGGTTTTTTGGCTTTTGCCTGAGTCTGTCTTATGTCAGCTTCCTCTTCAGTGGTAATACATGCTTTTATCGGTGCTGCTGGAGGTAGCTGAGCATATTTTTGTGATCTAAAATATCAACAACTTCTACTTTGGTATGTTTTCATTTCATGCCTATCTTTTAAAAAATGATTTACTGTTTTATCATTGTATATTAGTTAGTTCTGATTCCTCGTGCAGTTCATTATTATAGAATTTTTGTTCACCTTTCTTTACACACATCACATTATGGATTCAATTGCACTTTCTCATCTCTGGACAAATAAATGTGATTAACAGTTTACAAAATGATCACAAATTGACTTTTGAGGATGAACACTTGCTTTACTCTGTATTATTTTCTTATTTTTTTCAGTTTGTAGGCACACCTTTAGTTCACAGTAACAGACCACGGCGTGTTAAAATGCACTGTGGTTTGAAGTGTGATAGTTTGCTAGAATATATATATATATTTTTTTATCATTCAAGAGGTTGTTGAGATTTTCTCAAAGATGAGGGTGTAATGGATGTGATACTACTCTTTGGATCCTTTATTTTACCAAAAGTACGATTAATTCATGATATAGCATTAAGTCACAGAGAATTAAAATTCAGATTAATGTTTAGAGCCTTGTGGCTCTTAATTTCTCGCAAACTGAATTTACACGTGCTACCTCTTGGATGTGCACATTAATTTCTCTTCCCCAAATTTTGCGACTAAATTTAAAAAAAAAAGAAAAAGAAAAAGAAAGAATGTAAAACAAATTAAAGAGACAAAAAAACAACAACAATGTTGATGGAAAAGTTAAAAGTGTGTGTTCATAATTTCTTTTTGGTTTTGAGATGGGATTTATGTTTAGGCTTATCTGCACACTTAGTTCCTTGCTTTAAGTTGATTCTTGGCGATTTCACTACATTATTGCAGGGTCTTTACCTTACAACGTAAAGTGCCTTAAGGGAAGTGTTGTTGTGAATTTGGTGGTATATAAATAAAAATGCTCTGAAAATTTATTGGAATTGATTAAACTAAATACAGAAAATTACAAAAATTATTTTTACTTTTAGTTTGTGTAACCAAAAATAAAACAAACAAAAACACTGGTGTCCATAGAGACATATAGTTGGATGGCACCCCCATCTGGTAGAAAAAAATATGACAAGTCAAATGATGAAACAAAATTTCCTGTCTGTCCACAGATGATGGAAGGTGGAAAGATTTCACTATCAGAGGAGTACTGGCCGGA